ACAGCGTGTCCCACTGCCGTCTCCTCCTGCTTCCTCTCTTCCTGCTCTTGTTGACCCTGGGTCAGACTCTCTTCGTGCTACCAGTCCTACTGTCACGCGTCTCCTGGCTACTGTTGTCACTGACCCTTCCTTTGAGTCTGCTGCTGCGTCTGCCTTAGTTGCTGAGCTTGTCGACTTTGCTGCTCGCTGTCGTCTAGACTACGCTGCTAGCCTAGTTGCTGAGTCAGAGTCTGTCTGTCCTCCGTCCGTCGGGGGTGAGTGTGCTCTTGGCACTGACGTCCTTGAGGACAGGCAGGAGGAGTTTGAGTGCTTTGCTGCCGCTTTGCCCCATCTCGTGTCCATGCTTGTTGCCCCTGAGGGAGACCTGGATGCACCAGACATCCCGACCCCACGCTCTTACGCAGAGGCGATGGCCGGTCCCTAATCCTCTCAGTGGCAGTCAGCCATGGACACAGAGATGGCTTCCTGGAAGTCCACAGGCACCTACGTCGACGAGGTTCCCCCACCTGGGGCGAACATCGTCAGTGGGATGTGGATTTTCAGGGTTAAGCGGCCGCCGGGCTCTCCGCCTGTCTTCAAGGCGCGTTACGTTGCACGAGGCTTCAGTCAGCGAGAGGGAGCTGACTTCTTCCAGACCTTCTCCCCGACCCCGAAGGTTAGTACTGTTGAGATTGCACTGACCCTGCAAAGGGTCGTCGAGTTCTGCGGGGCGCGAAATTCTACCGAAGCGGAAATTCGCAGAGGACAGGGCGGAGCTCTGCACTACAGCAGAATTACTTCGCAGAAGCGAAAATGAAGTCCTGCTGCAGAGGAACGCGTGTCTGCAAAAATTGAGTATGCAGAAGAGGGCGAATCTGCAGAGCAGATCGTGGTGCTGCAGAGGAGGGCGCATCTGCAGAGATTTCGGACCTGCAGAAGAAGGCGTATCTGCAGAAACGAAATTCTGCAGAGGACCACAATTTCGACCGGCGAACCCCTCCGACGCGAAAACGCGATCGTTTCGGAACTTTTGCGTGGGAATTTTGGAACATTGCGGACATTGAGAAATTGACCCCCGGAAACAGTGCGTGAACTTGGGGTATTCAATCTGGGGGCGAATTGAACCACTTGAGCAAACTGAACCGGGCGCACGTTCTCGTAACTACGAAAACGTGCGTTACAGAAGTTGTTTAAAACAGCCTGAACAGTTAAAATAACTACTTTTAGGTAGGTAAAAATTACCAACTAAGCATGTGTTGTAATTTTCACCTGCCGATGCTGACTTGGCAAAGCGCAGCTAAGTAGTAGTTATCTAAACGTTCTAGGTGAGAACGTTCTCTTGGTAGGTTCAGTGGTTGGGTAGTTCTTTACCCCTTGTATTCTATCTTTCATCCTATTCTAGTGAATTTTCTGTGTGTGCCAAATCTATGCCTTCAAGGACTTAGACAAATTTCTGTCTCCTTAGTGAACCACCAATATCGTGTCTACGCAGAAAGCATTCCGTAGAGCTCGTTCATCCGTTAGAGCAGAAATCTCTGCAAGTACTTCCTTCCCCCTGACGTTTCGACTGCCAAGACAGATTCGTCACAGAGAGCCTTCAGTATCCTCGTTGGCTTTATTCTCGCTTCACAATCAGCTTCGGAGTCATTAGTACCTATGTTTCTAGGTCGACCTAGATCCGTTACAATGTCATAGGAGTCTTCGATCCGACGTCTATCTGACGACTTGCTCGCCAAAATCCTGCACTTAGTTGTTCGACCTGACGAATTCTTACATGCTCTGGTGTGCACGAAATGGTGCAAGGTAGCCTACAGCGTGCAGGACGTAGTTGAAGTATCCGATCATCGCGAAATTGTTTGGGTCTCAAATTTGGCCCTCTGTAGATTTTTCCCCCTAAAGGTACACAAAAAGTCCCAACCAGCTCCGAAAACCTAACAGCACCCTCTGTAACATTTTCGTGACTCCTCGCGGTGTACATAAAAGTCACATTTGTGTCACATCTAGCGACACCTGCGCACGAAATGCACGATTCGACCAACTTTCTGATGCCGTGGTTCGAATTCAGCACATTCAGACTCCGGTACGCAACACTGGTGACTCATTAAACGACCACTGTACCAATTCCGGCCAGTTTTGTGGTTATAACGTATAGCTCTAACACGGTTTAGACTCTGGTTAGGTAGTGACCACGAAGCATGCGAAGCAACCCGACCACTAGCGAAAAACAATAGACGGGGCAACTAATTTCGTGAATGTCGTAAAAACATAATTTTTGTTGATTCCATGAAGTACAGCCAAAATCTACGCGCCGGACTCAACAGTGACGTATGCAAACCAATGAAAGCTACACGTCAGATTGAGAAGTGCAATCCCCCAATCAGAGCTACTCCAAACCGTATACATTGCTAGAAGAAAATTCTGGACGTTCCACGTCACAACCCTACCCATATCTTCCACTCTCGGAACCATCGAGGTGAGCCTCACGAATCGTTCCAACCAATTGCTGCAGCTCATAAACACAAATACCGCCTCCGATATCCGCCCATCCCAACCAGCCGTGCCTATGCCATCATGAAACCCTTCCCCCATTCGCCATACAAATGTTCCTTGCATTTCAGTTTTGTTGTTCATAGTTCATACCTCAGACTTATGTTTGCCTCCTATCATACCTTTCTATCAAACTCCGCACTTCAACCGCCATTAGCACTATACTCGTGAAGATCTACCACCTCGCTCAAAGTTTTTTAGAGATATATGCTAACCCGCCCCGGGCCTTGTGTTCATGCGCAGTTCAAATGCTACTCTCGATGCTAGTGGCAATATTTTTTGCCACGATGAAGCTACTCCGTTTATATATCTCATTTTGCATCCACCCCACATTGATCCAACCCTCCCCTCCCACCTCCATTCCCCAGGGTAGTTTATGGTAGCATCAGCGCTACCGCACACGAAGCAACGAGATGTCAACTTCCGGTTAGCCGATGAAGATAACAGTAATGGTGAAGCTCTATTGTGATATGATAATGCGCTAGCCAACAACTTCCGTTTGTCTCTCATGGCCTTGATCCGATCCGCACGCAACATGCATCGCGAAAAAGGCAAATGCAAGTTTCATAGATGACTCCCACGCCTCCGTTGACCTAGCGTTGTTCTTGCTGATGCCGTTACCATTTGCTTCTCTATGATAGTTAACATGTGGCAGGTGGCGCTCACGACGTTTTCCCCATTGAAACCCATGGCCTCGGTTCTCTCTCTTCCTAATATTGTTTCCGTTCATCTGCACGTGGTAGTTCGCATGGGACATCAGCAAGGAGCATGTCATGTCATTTTGTGCATCAAGTGAGAGCAAAAGCGACCGAAGTGCAGTGGTTCTTATTCCTGTTTCACTGCCCCAGCCTTTGACTATGTATTCCGGACAAGCTGTAATGTCTAGTTTTTTTGCTTATCCAAGGTTTATTTTTGCGTCGTCTAGATCGCGGTATGCAAAAGTGCCACTAGAGCTGATGGGGGTATGTTGCGGCTGGCCGATTTGTGCATTCGGCCGCCCTGGAGGTATGATATTTGTTTTATAAGCAGCGGTCGCTGCATAGCGCGGTTATGATAACTGGAAATTCTAATGAAACAGGTCGCTATGACGTCGAGGTTCTGTCAGGTTCCATGTTTTTTTCTTGTGTGCAGATTCAAGTTTCGGTTTTAATGTGTGCAGATTTCAGCATGTTCTGTACGACCATACGGCCCGATGTTTGCTCGGCAAACCACGGTTTTCGTAGCTAGACGTTGTTCGGACGTTGTGCAGGCTTTATTTCGTACACACGTGCAGTAGCTCTTGATCGCACACATGTGTTGTATCTCTAGCTCGCACACCTGTGCGGTATCTATAGTTCGTACATCCATGTATGCACATGTGACTAAAGAAGTAATTCCAAAGTTTCATCTACTTCTTGCTGTGCTGAAATTTCGGGTACTAAATGGGGACACTGTGTTTCGGGTGCGTCGCCTGGTGGGTTACTGTTCAAAATCGCCGGCCAATCAAACACTAGTTCCGCACCCCGCTCGCTGACATCTGATTGGTCTATTTCGACCAATCACCAGCAATGACACGTGGCAAAATACATGAATACACGTGGACGCGGGGCGTCCACGTGGCATGTTAACTAAGATGTGACGAGAAGATCACTTCATGAGACACTACAATGTGATATTCTGTATAACATTTGGTCACATCAACGTGACTTTTATGTGACTTCGTAGGTCATATCGTGGCCGGTACTTTCAACCATGACTAAAAGACGCCGGACTTGCTGTCACATAAAAGTCGCATTTTTGTGACATTTTTGTGACTTCCGACACTTGCCATTTTCGCGATGATGATGATCGTTGCATGAATTACCGTCAGTTGCTTGACCAGATCACGAAATTTCATAGCCTCAAGAAACTCGTCCTATTAAGCGGGAGTTTATCCTTCGTCCCGGACGCTTTCTTCTTTCGCCTGGCCGAAATGCATGCGGATTTGATTGAGCTTCGCTTCGACACTTCATCAGATCCGTTCGGTTACGGCAAATCTTTCACTGTGAAAGGTCTTTCGGAGCTATTTGAGGTTTGCACCAAACTAGAAAATCTGCACCTCGTTTGTCCGCCGTGTCCACACCATTCCACATTCCATCAGCAACCAATCCCGACTCAGGAGCCTCTTCCTCAGGAACAATAGTATTCAGCATCTTCCCGACTCTATCACCTCTTTGCAACTTCTTGAGAACTTTAAACTGAGTGTGTTAAATCTACAAGATTTGCCTCAAGAGTTTGGCAATCTCGTCTCGCTGAAGACATTGACGCTGCTTGGTTTTCGCTCTCTCCGCTCACTCCCGGCATCCATTCAGCAGCTTCTCAATCTACATAGTCGTTTTATTCATCATTGCAATACATTTCAGTTACCAGGCGGTCTTTCTAAGCTTCAACGACTGAAGGTGCTTGAGATGTGGGATTGTGAAGATTTTTTGCCGTTTCCTGAGGATTTTGGGAAGATGCCGGCATTGGAATGCTTACTCATCAGGCGTGTGAAGGGGATCACGGAGCTTCCAGAGACTGTTGGACTTCTGTCGCAGCTGCAGCAGCTCACGATTGACGACCAAGACAGTTCCTCATGGTTACCCAGGTCCTTGCCCAATGTTTCGTCTCTCACCAGTCTCGACTTGCGTGTGCGAAGTCTTACAGATCTGCCAGATGGCATTGGTCGACTGTCAAAGCTTCAAAGTCTCAAGCTAGAAAGCTTAGGAGCCCATTCTCAAAGTCTTCTGTCCCTGCCTGAGGACTTTGGCCAGCTGACTGCATTGGAGGTTTTGGAGTTGTTAGGCCTTGAACGTCTCAGCCACTTGTCGGAATCCCTTGGTCATCTGATCAGATTGCGGGAACTGAGTCTTCACTGGTGTAAGCAACTTCAGCAGCTGCCCAACTCCTTTACCTTGCTATCTTCCCTTGGAAAATTGGATATTACGGCTTGGTCGCGGCTAACTGCTGTACTAGAGGGCATATGGGATGGCCTGTGTCATCTTCGTGAGCTGATTTTGGGTCATATACCTGTCACCCGCCTCCCTGCCTCCTTTTTCCGTCTTTCATTGCTCGAAATAGTAGTCTTGAAAGGGCTCAAGTGCTTGAGAGGCTGCCTTCCAGAGGGATTTGGCAGCTATACACACCTTAAGGAACTCTCTTTATCTAGGATCCCTAGTCTCACTTCCCTTCCGGCCTCCCTCTCCCGATTAGCTCTCACCCTCACCAGCCTGGCGATAGAATCCTGCAAGGAGCTGAAAACATTGCCAGAAGAAATTGGACAGCTAGAATCTCTGGAGGAGCTCCAGCTTTCAGATCTTGGCAGTTTGAAATCGCTCCCTCAGTTGCTGTTAAAGCTGCCTCGACTGCAGGAGCTGGATGTGAGCAGCTGCAAGAACCTGGGCAGGAGGAGCAGTGTGGATACCTTGGTTGGGGGGAGAAGCATCTGCAGCAGCAGCAGCGGCGGCGGCGGCAGCAGCAGCGGCAGCTCCAGCATTCTGGGTGAAGCGGAAGTTCTTCCATCGCTGCAAAGCTTAATCATTTCGGGTGTTGCTTCCGAAGTGCTTGATCCGTCCCTGGTTTCTATCTCTTCATTGGTCAAGCTGCACCTGGACGGCATACCTAAACTACGTATGCTACCTGAATCCATCTCTCGGTTGTCAGGCCTGGAAGAATTGGCCATCTCCGATGCTAAGGGTCTCGAAATACTGCCGGAATCTGTGGGTGAACTTTCCAGGCTTATATCTCTCTGTCTAGAGCAATTAAGAAAGTTACTTCAGCTGCCCAAGTCTACTGGGCAGTTGAAAGAAGCTGAAGATTCTGGACATCTGTGACTGCCCAAAGATTTCAAGGCTTCCGGAATCATTTTCCAAACTGCCGAGCCTACAATACTGCACTCTCATAAACTGCCTGGAGCTATCATCCCTTCCACATGATTTTGGACAACTCTTCTCCCTCCGAAAGCTTTATCTGTCTGAACTGCCGAAACTTCGCAGGCTCCCTGGTTCTTTTCGAGACTTGTCCCGGCTGAAGTGGCTGGAAGTGCATGAGTGTGAGCGGCTAGGTCAACTGCCATCCTCCCTCACCGATATGCCGATGCTGCAGCATTGCACGATTGTCGGGTGTCCTCGGCTTTCAAACATATGGCAGGGGTTATGGCTCGATTGAACCATGTGAAGCAGAGGGGGTGGATGAGGAGGATGAGGAGGATGAGGATGAGGAGGATGAGGAGGAGGATGAGGAGGATGATGAGGATGATGAAGATGATGAGGATGATGAGGATGATGAGGATGAGGATGAGGAGGATGATGATGAGGATGTGGAATGAATGGAAATGGAGATGCTACGGAAAATGAGAGCTGATGGAAGGGATGATTAGGAGGAACGTACAAGCCTAGAATGAAGGGGAGAGGGAAAAATCATCAGGGCTCAGGGAAAAGTGTAGTAGTGGTAGGATGTGTTTAGGAAATGAGTAGCATATTTTTCCTTGCTATGTGGAGTTTCTGTGCACATAACCACATTGCAGATTGCTAAGGAAAAGGTTAGCTCTTGGATATGCTAGCTTTGTGGGAATTCCATAATTGAAGAAAGTGCTGCTTATGCCTTTTCCCTGCTCTCCCCCGTTTCCTTGCTCCATATCTGGCTGTTTCTTCCTGGAAACTCTTTCCATCCTCGCTACCAAGAGCCTGGTGACTATTTTGAGCTCTGGGAAGCTACCAGTAGGCCTTTCCATGCCTCTCAGCTAATTTCTGTCATCTGTAAAAACCCGAGTCATTTTCAGAAGCTGCCCGGGTGTATGGTCGACTGAGAAAGCTATCCATCATTGCCCAGAGCTGGTTAGCCCCCTGAAACCGTTTCCAGTCTACCCAACCTGTGGCACTAGTTGCTCCTTGACTGCTTGAGTGCATGGGAATCAGTTTTAACATTTCTAAGAACAGACCTGCTGATTTTTTTTTCCCCTCATTCCCAACCTGCAGCTCTAATTGCTCCTTGCTTGAGTGTAGGGGGAGGGGAGAATGTAAAGGAGTTGGAGATGCTCCAGGAGGTGTTTTCCATTCCACCCAGGTGGATCCCATTCCACCCAGGTGGATCCCATTCCACCCAGGTGGATCCCTTTCCACCCAGGTGGGGACCGGCTCCTGGATGATCTCAGGCGGTGAGTACACTCATGTGCGTTGCCCTTCTACAAGTCTACCGGCGCCATTGATCTTTGGAGTAGCTGGAGATCCTGCTGGAGGCGTATTTCACTCAGGTGGATCGGCTACTGGACAACTTGACCGCTGTGAGTAAATTGCTGGCTATGTCGTGCTGTGCCACGTTAATTGTCTATACTAAATTGTTTTGCATGCCCTTATCTCTCTTCCTATATCTCTTCACCAGCTCTCTTCCTCCCTCCTCCCCCTTTCTTCCAGCTACACGAGTATGTGGATGACAGGGAGGACTTTGTTATGTAGGCACTCTACATGCCCTTCCCTTGTTTCCCTTCTTACATTTCACCTGCTGTCTCCCTCCACGCCCCTTTTTCCAGCTCCATGAGCACGTGGCCGACACAGAGGATTCTGAGGACACTTAGAGCATACAACTGGGCACCAATACATTCCCTTTCTTCTTATCTTCTTGTTGTCAACTTCACCAGCACCCTGCCCCATTTCCCCAGCTACACGAGTGCGTGGATGACACAGAGGACTATGTGAACACGCAGTGAAGAAAGCAACACCTAGAATAAACCCTTCTCCTCATCCCCCCCCCCCCCCCCCCCCCCCCCCTCCCAAGCTACACAGGTACGTGGACGACACGGAGGACTATGTGAACACGCAGTAAACAACAGGCCATCAAACTCTACCCCCACCCTCCCTCCCTCTCCCCCCCACACCTACCCCCTCGCCAGCTACACGAGTACGTGGACGATACGGAGGAAAGTAAGGACCACCCAATATAAACCCTTCTCCCCATCCCCCCTCCCCTCCCCTCCCCTCCCCTCCCCTCCCCTCCCCTCCCCTCCCCGCCTCTTCTCCCCAGCTACACGAGTATGTGAACATACAGCAGTAAGAGAGCACACTGATATGAGTACACCCTTTCCTTATCTCTTATCAATGCCCCCCCCACTGCCTTCCATCCCTTGCCCCATCCCCACCCCTCTCCCCAGCTCCACGAGTACGCGGAGGACACGGAGGACTATGTGAACATACAGCTGGACTATCGCAGGAACCATCTACAGGGGACGCAGGTGGGTGGTGCTGATGACGTGGCAAGAATGATGACGTGGCAGCTCATCCAGGGTTTAGGGTAATGCAGTTTTTAATTTTCTTTGCTTTTGAGGAGGGGGAAGGGAAGGGGTGGGAGGGAATGAGGGTGGGCCTAAAGGGGAACCAAAGTATGTGTCATGTGGCTCTGATGTCTAGCCATGTCGCATGCACGCATCTCTTTCATTTGTTTTCCCATCATTCCCCTGTCCCCCTCTCCTGGTGCTAATAACAGCAACGGGGATGGTGCTGTTGATGCTCATTGTGACCATAGCAGCCTTCTCAATCAACGATACCTACTGTCTGGGCAGCTGAAAAAGTTCCATCTACAGGAAATCCACCACTTCCCAGAGCTGGTTGACCTCCTGAAACCTTTTCCAGTCAACCCAGCCTGCCACACTAGTTGCCCCTTGATTGCCCGAGAGTGGTGAGTTTGGGGAGAGGGGAGGATGTAAGAGGCGTATTGCACTCAGGTGGACCGACTCTTGAACGAATTAACTGCTGTGAGTGAACAGCTAGCTACCTATACCGGGCTCTCTGTCCTTGTTTGAAGTGGGTGGGGGGGCGGGTGGGGGGGTGGGTGCGCTGCTGAATTGCTGGAAAGGAGGATGTGGAGGAGTTGGAGATGCTGCTAGGTGGACCGATTGCCTAACAATCTCACAGCAGTGAGTGACAAACCCTGATGTCGTGTGCTCTGATGTCGTGTGCTCTGATGTGGTGCGATCTGATGTGGTGCGATCTGATGTGGTGCGATCTGATGTGGTGCGATCTGATGTGGTGCGATCTGATGTGGTGCGATCTGATGTGGTGTGATCTACTGTGGTGCGATTTGCTATGGTGTGATTTTCTGTCTTGTGATCTGCTGTGGTGTGATGTTGCAGGGTACTTTTGAATCTTCTAAAAAATGATATACTGTCTGTAATGTCATTTGCTGTTGGGGTCTGTCGTTTTGTAAGGCATTCTGCTTTCAGGTCGCTCTAGATTCATTTGAAGATGCTACAGGTGTGTTTCATGCAGGTGGACCAGCTGCCAAGTGATCTTACAGCAGTGAGTGCGGTGCGCTGGTTCGTGATTGGATGGCAGTAGTGTAGAGTCCACGTGCCCTGCTGTCATTCATCCCCCGCCTGCCCCTTTGAGAGTCACTTTTGAGAGTTCTCAAATCTGACTGTTGAGCGACTTTACAGCAGTGAGTGTTGTGCCCTAGTTTGAGACTGCATGGCAGCAGTGCAGAGTCCACCTGCCCTGCTCTCATCCCCCACCCTTCCACCCTCTCCACCACCCCCACCTTTTTCCCAGCTTTCCCCATCTTTCCCCCCAGCTTCCCCCCAGCTTCCCCCACCTTTTTCCCCACCTTCCCCCTCCTTTTTCTCCACTCCCCCCCACCTTTTTCTCCACCTTCCCCCACTTCTTCCCCCAGTTTCATATGGAAGGCCACGTGAACACACACTTTGCCTTATCTTCCCTTGCCTCTCCTTATCTACTCCTTCTATCCCTTGTCCCTAATTTTCTTACCTTATCTTTCCATGTCTTATCTCTCCTTTTCTCAAACCGTATACCTCTCCTCTGCCCCCCTTCCCTCCCCCTGCTCTACAAGTACCATATGCGGACAACTCGGAGGAATAGTATGAGAAAACCCAATTGCCCTTCTATCTCAGCTGACCTTTGGATATCTCCTTACCTTTCCTTTTCTCATATGGTATGTTTCTACCCCTCTGCTCCCTTTCCCCCCCCTGCTCTTCAAGTACCATATGCGGATGACTCGGATGACTAGTATGAGAAATCCCAATTGCCCTTTGCTTATTCCCATGCTTCAACAGGTTGAAAGACATGTTCTGTACCAAACCTGGCAGTTGTATCTGGTTTGTTATCACGTGCTGTGACCTTCTTTCAGGTGGGTGGGTGGTTGTGTTATGCTGATGGATTGCTGTGGGGGTGAGGGGGTGGAGGACTGTGAGGTGCAGCTAGAGGCGTATTTCACCCACAGCAAGGGGGTGAGGACCCTGGCTGGGCACCAGTGAGGTTGAGGTGACTTTTGAGTCGACTCAATACTCACCTTTTCACCCACAGCAAGGGGGTGAGGACCCTAGGCACCAGTGAGGTCGAGGTGACTTTTGAGTCGACTCAATACTCACCTTTTCACCCACAGCAAGGGGGTGAGGACCCTAGGCTCCAGTGAGGTTGAGGGGTTGAGGAGGTGGACTGACTTTTGGACGACCAGTGGGGGGTTGCTATGCGAGTGAACACACGCAGCAGCATGAGAGCACTCATGACATAACGTGCTTTGACACCTCTCCCTTGATCGTCTCCTCCCTTGACTGCCTCCTCCTCTCCCGTTCCCCCCAATCCCAGCTCCACGAGTACTATGTGAACATGCACTCGTGGAGAAGGGTGAAATAGCCCATGTGGATGACACGGATGACTATGTGAACATGCACTCGTGGAGCAGGGTGAAATAGCCCATGTGGATGACACGGATGACTATGTGAACATGCACTCGTGGAGCAGGTTGAAATAGCCCATGTGAATGACACGGATGACTGTGTGAACACCCAGCAGAACAAGAACACTATGTGCTCTGTGTGTAACCTCTTTGCCCTCCTCAGATTCCTTTCCCCCCCCCTCCTCCTTTGCAGCTCCACGAGTATGTGGACGATACAGAGGACTATGTGAACACGCAGCTGGATGAGAGGGCACTCTGTATGCCTTCATGATCTCTTATCGCTTCTTCAATCTCTCCCCCCACACCTCTTCACCTCAGCTCCATGAGTATGTGGACGACACGGAGGACAATGTGAACACACAGTTGGACCTCTCACAAAGTAAATAAGGGAACAGCAGAGGACTATGTGACCTCTCTTGTGCCCTCTATCTCCCCTCCCCTCTCTCTCAGCTCCATGAGTATGTGGACGACACGGAGGACTATGTGAACACACAGTTGGACTACCGCAGGAACTAGCTGCAGGGGACCGCAGGTGCGTGGTGCTGATGACGTGGCAGGTGTGATGACGTGGCAGCTCAACCTGGAAAAAAACTGGCGAGTTTTTTTTTTTTTTTGGACGGGAGGCGGAGGGGAGGGGGAACTAGAGCATGTGTCATGTAACTCTGATTTCTAGCAATATTGCATCATGTTTTGAGGTTCCGTGTTGCATCGTGTTGTCATCCTTCTGCAATTTCATTAATTTACCTTCCATCCCCCATTTTCCCGTCCCCTTCTCGTTCTCCTTCTTCCCCAGCTGCACCCTGGTGCCGCACCCGGGCTGCAACACACCCTCCCACTCCCCTATATTCTTCTCTCCGATGGCCCCTCCCAACCCTCCACCATCCCTCCACCAGGTGCTGATAACAGCAACGGGGACGGTGCTTTCGATGCTCATTGTCATCATCGCTGCCTTCTTAATGAACCTCCCCAACATCCTCTTTGACTCTGATCCAATGGCCACTTCCTCACCGTGCTGTTGCTGCCTCTCCTTGCTTCCCCCCTCCTCCCCCTCCATCCGCTCATCCCAGGTGCTGATAACAACAATCAACCAATGAACTACACGTGCTTATCAAGACATTGCTCTGTTCGTCCTTACGAAATTAAGACGGTTCCAACGCGATTTCCAAGGGAGCAAAAAGAGATCGACACTCATGCAAATCAAGGCTGCAAGATCAAGTGCAAGATAATTACCAACCGAAATGTCTTCAGATTATCATCATTTTCTGCCATTCAACATAAATCAAGACGATAGCAGCATCGCAAGTCTCAACGAAAGAAACGGATTGAAGATTTTTCGTCATGGCAAAGCATGTCGGGGGTGCATCGAGATTTCCTATTTTAAGCTTGTCTACTGAAGGTTTCGAGGTCGAAGATGCTTTTCGTAATACAACTCTGATCGATGCTATGACATCAAAAGCCAGATCAAGGGAGCTGTAGATGAAGAGAGTAGAAGGCTACTCTGATTTAATGAGCAAGAAAAACAGGAGATCAAAAGTCGAAGCTTCCGGCGCTGTGAATCTCCCTTCGCTACAAGAGACTTCTTTATATTTGGAAGATACTGATGAAATCGTCAGAACGTTTCGGCGCTATGAACCAGGGCGAGCTGCTGGAGGTGCTTTTTTCTCTGAAGGTGTTTTGCTCTCTGCTGCTCCCACCACACCACTCACACAATCGGCTCGAATGGCTGCAATGAGGGGAGGGAGCACTCATTCCCAAGGCCCTGCCAGGCAGCAACTTCAAAGCAGGGCTATTTCTGCTGTAACCCAACTCAACCAATATCGGCAATGCTGGGTCGGAGCCAACCGACGGTGTTTTGCGTTGTACGTTGAATAATGCTATTTCACCTCCAAAAAAAAAAAAAACAGCAACGGACACGGCGTTATCAATGCTTATTGTGATCATAGCAGCCTTCTCAATGAACCTCCCCAACTTCCTCTTTAAGACGAAAGGCCAGTTCCCCACCGTGCTGCTGCCCCTGCTTGGCTCTGGTGCCGCTTGTCAAACTTTTTTTTCTGACCGGAGCGCCTGTCGTTCCTGCCCGAGGCGCGCCTTGTGGGCCGCCCTTCTGTCGAGCTCTCTTAGAGGCCCCTCTCACGGCCCCTCGCGCCACCCTTAGTGGCCCCGTCGCCTCCCCTAGCGGCCCCGTCGCCGCCTTTCCAGGCACCTCGCGGCCCCTAGCGGCCCTGTCGCCGCCCCTAGCAGCCCCGTCGCCGCCCCTAGCGGCCCCGTCGCCGCGTCTCTCCCTACGCGGCCCCGTTGCCGCCCCTACGCGGCCCCGTCGCCGCCCCTAGCGGCCCCGTCGCCGCCCCTAGCGGCCCCGTCGCCGCCCCTACGCGGCCCCGTCGCCGCCCCTAGCAGCCTTGTCGCCGCCTCCCTCCCTACGCGGCCCTGTTGCTGCCCCTACGTGGCCCCGTCGCCGCCCCTAGCGGCCCCGTCGCCGCCCCTACGCGGCCCCACCGTCCGCCCCTAGCGGCCCCGTCGCTGCCTCCCTCCCTACGCGGCCCCGTCGCCGCCCCTAGCGGCCCCGTCGCTGCCCCTACGCGGCCCCGTCGTCACCCCTAGCGGCCCCGTCGCCGCCTCCCTCCCTACACGGCCCCGTCGCCGCCCCTAGCGGCCCCGTCGCCGCCCCTACCCGGCCCCGTCGCCGCCCCTACCGGCCCCGTCGCCGCCTCCCTCCCTACGCGGCCCCGTTGCCACCCCTACGCGGACCCGTCGCCGCCCTTAGCGGCCCCGACGCCGCCCCTACGCGGCCCCGTCGCCGCCCCTAGCGGCCCCGTTGCCGCCTCCCTCCCTACGCGGCCCTGTCACCGCCCCTACGCGGCCCCGTCGCCGCCCC